AAAAGTTTTTTGTGTAATTTAAATTAATTTGCGCATAATTACTATTACAGAATTACATTTTCTATTATTTGTTAAACTATGAATAAAGTCTGTTAAATTAAAATAGAGTTCAGTGTTAAACTGAAACCCCCAAGACGTCGTGCAATATGAAAGATGCATGTTGGTTCATTTGCATACCTTGTGTGTCCAAAACGAATGCCAATACACACACAAGACACAGTAGTAAGTGCTCCATAACTCCAAATTACTAATTTCTGCACAAATTGATTCACATTTTCACGGCATCATTGATAAGTATTCCAACAAATGACTACTTTAAGATCCACGCGGTTTTCTTATGTTATTTTCGGTTTAAAATGTAATCCATTGCTCCCGCGACCTGATTTTCTCACAACAAAGTTTTTCGCTCGTGTTCCCTTTGAGAGAACATCGTCCCTTGTATTCCTACGCCAAGTTGCGGCACGCTTCGATAAATTCCATCACCTAGAAAAAAATATTTGAGCAAACAAAATATCCAAAATCAATATTAATTTATAATTTTTCAAATTTTAGATCCACAGATTTTGTTTCCGTTGCTCTGTTTGCTCTTTCTTTGTGCAAGTATTTACAGAACTATTTATTTACCTCTCTCCGTACTGGTACCGTGATTTTTGTTGATAAAATCAAGTCCCGTTTCGCGCGAGGTGGAACATTCTACCTGTGGTTGAAAGCTTTTGGCACACGACTTGCTAAATGAATAATTCATATACCAATTTTTATTAAACGTTCTTTGTGACTTTTACATACAGAATTTAAATATGCTGTCTGCATCTTTGATTTTTCGGGCACCTGTCACCTTGTTCTTTCGCAAAAAAGTAAAAAAAAAATGTAGAAGTTTCATCTGAAGCACTTATAATATGTCTCCACGAAAGATTTTAACACTTTCATTCTGATTGTAAATACGAAAAAAAAAATCTACGCAGACATTCTGGCTATACAGTACATAGGAATATTTGCTGTAGTAAAAAAAAAGGATATTCCCTTCCGTCCGACAAGTTTGGCGGACAAGTTTACATAGGCATTAGAACTGAAATTAATTAAAATCATTTTTTTTAATTGGCATTTTGTCTTTGTATATGATTTCTGTTGCTAGGGTAGATCAACGTTATGAAAATAATTAAATATATATTGGAAGTCAACTTTGAGCTGCTGAGCCTCGGACAGACGGACAGACATTTATTAATAATATCCGCTTTCGCGGAAGAGAGTCAGAGGATTTATTCATCCAAACTTATTTATGTACATAGGTAAAATGTTATTGAATTTTGTCGTCAGTGAAAGAACATAAAAAAAGACATTTCTTGTGTCTTTGTCAGACGAATATTAATAAGTCTTTACCAACAAAACACACCTTCATTGTACAGAAATTAATAATAAAAAATCAAAGTACAATACAATATATATATATATATATATATATATATATATATATATATATATATATATATATATATATATATATATATATATATATATATATATATATATATATATATACAATCTCGAGCTCTACGCAGAAGAGGGAGGTTTTGCTCTAAAGCATATGAATTGCACATTAGGGTCAAATAATGATTTTATCCAAAAAATGTGTTAAAAAATAGTAATTTAATGATAAAACGTTAAAAGAACGGAAAGGGATAAACTAACCTTTTGAAAAAAGGGTAAATCTTGATGTACATTGTTTAGCAAGTTGCCAAATTGAACCTCGAATTGATTTATTGTTGTTTCCTCATTTTAGCAATATTTAGCAATATGGTGGAACTTTTAAGAATTCAGGTTTTCTTGTTCATTCATTCAGAATTTTCACACAAGGGTTCTATATGGTATGTGCTGACTGTGACTCAGATTCATGGATACAGTGCGGGTCTAACGCCTTATAAGCCAAATTTTCGGCAAACAACCCCAAAAAACGATTAATCTTTAACCACTATATGCCAAATGATGAATATCCCTCCCCCATTTCTCCAACAAAAACGATGGATAAGAATTATATTTCAATGTATATAGTCCTTGCTGATTATTTGGTAGAACATTTTTTAGCAAGCAGTTCCTGAGTTATTTGATGCATGCATGAATTTTAAGGTTTATCGACCCTCTGATAAGAGAGATAACTCCCTCTAGATCAGTGACTATCATTCTTTATAAATTATCAAATAAAAAGATCATTTCTGTCAAATTTTCCCCGCAACCTATGCTGATTAGTGAATGTGTATGCATTTTCAAAATATTTTTGAAAATGATAAGCATTACAGCAAATTTCTATAATGATTATAGCAGAACTTTATAGGTCTGCCTCCCATCCACGATTCCCTTTCCAGGTTTCTTTAGGGTTTGAATATGTATGTTACATGTCTTTAGTCCTTGCAGTTCATTTTAATGGGCAATATCGATATCTGTATTTTTTCAAGGCATTTTATTCCCCCCCCCTCTTTTTTTTGTTCAGCAGATTCTTCATTAATTAGTTTCTTCAGTGAAAGTGATGTGATCTGTCCAACGAACTTTAGCATATTTTGACACTGCTAGAGAAGTTTAATAAAATATGGCTGGTAAATGACAAAGCGCAGTCTTCTCAAGAAAATTTATCATTAATTTCGAAACATATATGTTGAGATGCAAAGGGTGCACAAATCGTAAGTGTCATAAAATCTGTATTAAATCTTATTGATATCTGAATTTATTTCTGTAAGCAGCGTTCCGTGTTCATGTTTTACAAACTGATTCCATCCCAGAGATCTAGGATCTCGAGGTCGCCAAACCTATCCTTATTTAACACAATATTATATATATATATGTAGTCTTGCGAAATCTGCCCATTTAAGTATGAGTAAAGACATAAACATACATGTCAGAAATTTGGTCATAATGTCACATTAAAAGTTTATACTTTATCAAGTTAAACTTTTCTATAACAGTCTAGTGTCAATTGACAATTTCACATAGAGTCCTGCTTTGACTTTCCTATTTGATTCACAGACTTACTCAAGGTCACTGTACACACTTTACTCATGGGCACTCTTTAATTGAAGTTTGATTCAGATTTGAAAAAGAGAGAGAAAATATTTCATAACGACGAGGTTGCTCAGATATCTGCTTTGACCTTGACCTTTGACTTACATTTTTTCTCCCAGACACATTTTGGTGACGTATGAACAAGAAATCCTAGAGGAGAGAAAATGTGTTCACGATATGGATTTCCAACAGAAATCTACTGTGTCCTTGCATGACTTCAGACCCGAACTAGAGCACTGTATCAGTATGAAAAGTAAGCCACATAGGGCGAAGAGGAGAGAAACTCAGATCTAGACAAGGATTTTTTTTACCTTGACCTTTGTTTTAAAAAAAAATGGTGCAAGGTCACTGCACTCTATTTCCCACAAGCACTCTATGGTTGAAGTATGAGCCAGGTAGGGCTATAAACAAAAGGTCAAAGCAAAAATAACATAGAGAATTAAAAGCTTAAAGTGGGTCAGAAGAATCAGAAATGTAAAATAAACAAAAATAAAAGGCCCACTAGTTTGAGAGATAGAAAGCGTGAAATTTTAAAACTGTCAAGTTAACTTGGTGGTAAATAAAGTTTAACATTACAGAAGACAAGCATGTTCTAGAATTTAACTACATTCATAATTGCAGTCCATGCCCTTCGGTATAAAAGTAGAAAATCATAGTTTATAAACTATCCCCATTTTTCAGATGACGCGCCGTCTTTACGAAGTCTATATGGTCAGTAATGAGAAAGGCGAAGATAACGAACAGTGATGATTAATCTCATAAATCCCGTAAACAGCAAGAATCGGAAATAGGGAAAAAAGACCTCTGGAAATACCAGGGGTGGGATCAGGTGCCCAGGAGGAATAGGTATCCACCGTCGACCAGCCACACCTGCTGTAGGTATAAAAGTAACCCTTATTCAAAATAAGTATAACAACAATGACCTTACATTAAATTAGTATGAAACATGTCAGTCAAAATACAACTTGCAAACAAAATCTTTATATCGACCATAGAGTTTTGTAAATTAGCTAATGAATTCCATAGTTAGCAGAACATCCTATGAAGCAGATGTACGTGGCAGACTCTATGGTGTCTTATTTTGAGTACACTTGGATACATGTACATCTAGAGTCGACATATGAAAGAAAATAAGTATAATCCTTAATTTATAAAACATTGATATTTTCAAATGTCGAACTGAAGGCCTCACCAGAAATTTCTCTCGTTTAAAATTTGTAAAATAAATTCTTCTTCATTAGAATATAAAACGGATCGACTGTTGACTAATAAAGGAGCACAATTTAGTGCGCATCGGAATTCCAACAGTAAATCAAGTCACAAAAGGGGCGGCGACCCAATAATTTTGCTAACAAAATGAATAGATAAATAAAATAAAATAATAAAAAAAGAATTTAAAAGATTATATAAAAATACAAAAACTGTAAAACGGATCGGCGAAGTGTAGACTATTATTTCCAGTACCCGGAAATCTAATCACCTGATCCTGAAAAAGTATATGTACCTGACTTAAAATAAAATTTCCATTCCAATATAGATTCATAAATATGTTTAGTGTGTGTGTTTTCGGCTAAAACACTGAACAAATTTCTAACACCGCATGTGTTCATTTGATCAGTGTTTATTGTTTGCCATATATCCTTTCGACCGCCTTAATCATTCGTTGTCCGTGTTAACCGAAATTAAACAGAGATTCTCTGTGACCCCCCCCCCCCCCCTGCGCTGGGCCCCAGGCAGGGGAGGATATCACAAGATACATGTATTTGGAAAGGATCGTAAGAGAAAGTTGTATTCTATCAGTTGTTAAAACTACAAATCTTTGCCTTTATTCTGTCTAATAGATCCTCAGATACGCCAAACATAGGGGTTTTACGACACTCAAAAGTTAATTCTATCGGACTCGAGATTCACATTCTGAACAACATCCGATCAAAAGACAGCGTGAGTTTCTCACTTTGACTTTCTAAGTTTCTGTGATATAAATCACAATCACTGCTGATATGAGAATGTGACAGTCGTTTTAAAAAGATATATTGACTCATAAATCATAATGGTGAGAAAACTAAAGTTTCACGAGAAGAAATTACTCAAGAAAGTTGACTTCATTTCATGGGATGTCGACAATAATTTACATGAGGTCAAAATATTGAAGAAGTATTACATCCAGAAGAGAGAAGACTACACAAAGTAAGTAAATAAAATAAATAAATAAATTTAATAAATAAAATAAATAAATAAAGCAAATAAAAGATTTTTTTTAATCGATTCATTTTTACCAAAGGACACAAACGAAACAACAACAACCCCAATTTTTATCAAATAATGCCCTAGAAAACGTAATGAACAGTATGATCCAGGAAAATGCTTAATTTTAGTGTGGAAAATGATGTTCATAAATATTTTTCATGCTGATAGTTCTCAGTGGCTTAGTCTTACAGTGTGTTACAGGTGTAAAAGGAAAAGAGAAAATGTATGGCCACTACATCCCCCCTGGCAGTACTTTCACCTGCAAGACCAGGGGCTAATAAGAACTTGGGTTGTGGCTTCGAGAGCGAAGACAATTTAAGGAGGGAGGAATGTAATGGTTTGGGCCATAGATATCGGCCTGGGTAGCTCAGTGGGTAGAGCACCTGACTAGTGATGCAGGGGTCCCGGGTTCAATTCCTGGTCTAGACATACATTTTCTCCTTTCTTGTTACAGATTTGGTGCCGTTGACCACCCCTGGACTTGCAGGTGAAAGTCCTGCCAGGGTCTAATAAGAACTTGGGTTGTGTCTTCAAGGGCGAAGACAATTTAAGGAGGGAGGAATGTAATGGTTTGGGCCATGGATATCGGCCTGGGTAGCTCAGTCGGTAGAGCACCTGACTAGTGATCAGGGGTCCTGGGTTTGATTCCCGGTCCAGCCATAGATTTTTTCCTTTTCTGTTACAGATTTGGTGCAGTTGACCACCCCTGGACTTGCAGATGAAAGTCCTGCAAGGGGCTAATAAGAATTTGGGTTGTGTCTTCCAGGGCAAAGACAATTTAATTTAGGGAGGGAGGAATGTAATGGTTTGGGCCGTGGATATCGGCCTGGGTAGCTCAGTCGGTAAAGCACCTGACAAGTGATGCAGGGGTCCCGGGTTCGATTCCCGGTCCAGCCATAGATTTTTTCCTTTTCTGTTACAGATTTGGTGCAGTTGACCACCCCTGGACTTGCAGATGAAAGTCCTGCAAGGGGCTAATAAGAATTTGGGTTGTGTCTTCCAGGGCAAAGACAATTTAATTTAGGGAGGGAGGAATGTAATGGTTTGGGCCGTGGATATCGGCCTGGGTAGCTCAGTCGGTAAAGCACCTGACAAGTGATGCAGGGGTCCCGGGTTCGATTCCCGGTCCAGCCATAGATTTTCTCCTTTTCTGTTACAGATTTGGTGCAGTTGACCACCCCAGGACTTGCAGATGAAAGTCCTGCAAGGGGCTAATAAGAATTTGGGTTGTGTCTTCCAGGGCAAAGACAATTTAGGGAGGGAGGAATGTAATGGTTTGGGCCGTGGATATCGGCCTGGGTAGCTCAGTCGGTAAAGCACCTGACAAGTGATGCAGGGGTCCCGGGTTCGATTCCCGGTCCAGCCATACACTTTCTCCTTTCCTGTTACACAGGGTGAATTATAAATTGAAGAAAATTTAAGAAATGAGGAATGTAGTGGTCATACTTGCCAACCTCCAACTTGTAAAAAGAGGGTTGTGACCCTATTTGGAAAGTAAATACATAATAGTAAATACATAATGACATTCATAACATACATATTTACCATGATTATGATATAATATATATATAATATATATATAATATTATGTAGATCCAAGCTTTGGTTGACAAATGGAAATTACCCGTGCAAACTAATATACAAACCAAATCTGGAAATTAGGAGACTTTCTGGATGTTCAGCAAAAATTGTGTGATAAGCATAACCCACTGTGTCATAAAAAAATAATTGGGTTATGGATAAAAAAAAAAAAAATTGTGTATACCTAACAAAATTGGATAGGTTGGCACTATGGTAGTAGATTGGGCTATATAGGGCTACAGTCATATGGAGGGTAATCGTGTTCAAAAATCCAGACTTGTAAGTTTGTAAATCCAAACTTGTAATCGTATCAGTTTCATAGTATACATATGTAAGTAGGTAATTCCGACATCCTAGCATGTAGTTCCGAACATAGAACTGTGTTGACTTTGAGTTTATACTATGAATGTGAGTATTTTTGATGTTTCATATAATTTTATTTTTGGTTTGATTTCAGGTACAATAAACTATCAAGGCATATTAGAGAGTTAGCCAGGAAAGTTAAAGAACTGGATCAGAAGGATCCATTCAGAGCAGAAGCCACCTCACAACTCATAGAAAAACTGTAAGTTTAGCATTTGTTTTTAATCCCTAAGAACCAAAATACAAACTGCTTCCTTTTGTCAATTTATGGCACTACTAAACAGAGTAGGCATCCATACACTAGAGGATGTAAAAGTATGCTGGTTATATTTATTTAATATTTATTATATACATGTACAATAAAAATTGTTTATTTGTAGTCATACAGTGAACCTTTTCTAATCAGGATGTTAAGTATTCCAAAATCTTGCCTAATACAATGTAAATTTTAAGCCCATTTTAGTGAATTCAATGGTTTAGAATGATATATAATCCTGAATGTTTCTTTCCAAATAGTGCTGTCCAGAAAAGACAAGTTTTATTGTACTAGTTAAATGTATATACATGTATTATCATTTATGAAAAAAAATTGCCATCTATTTCAAGCATTTGATTTGTTTTTGGGGGTGGGGGAGTGGTCAACAATTTCTTTTTCCAAGAGAATCAGCATGTACAGAAGTTAATTACTGTCAAAATTATGGTTATAAGTAGCTGCAGAACTGTAGATCTTTGGTTGAGAAAATTTAAATAGACAAACCAGAGAGCTACATATCCAAGCACATTTGATTTATATGCTGCTTCAGGTTTTTTTTTCTTTAGGATTAGGAGTAAAATATTAAATAACTGACACCTTGCTTTGAGCAGAAAGGGGGGGGGGGGGGCACATACAATACAAGAAAAAATATCCAAAGCATGCAACAAAAAGGGGCTTAGTAATTGGAAAGTTTTTACAATGCTTGGATCTGTAGCTCTCTGGTTTAACTGTCCAAATTTTCTCAACCAGAGAGCTACAGTTCAAAATTAGATTTTGAGTTTATGATTGCATAATAAAAGGAAAGTGTTGTTAGCTCACCTGAGCCGAAGGCTCAAGTGAGCTTTTCTGATCACATTTTGTCCGTCGTCCATCTGTCTGTCCGTCTGTAAACTTTTCACATTTTCGACTTCTTCTCCAGAACCACTGGGCCAATTTCAACCAAACTTGCCACAAAGCATCCTTGGGTAAAGGGGATTTAAGTTTGTTCAATGAAGGGTCACACCCTCTTTCAAGGGGAGATAATTAAGAATTAGTGAAAATTTGGTGGTATCTTTTAAAAATCTTCTTCTCAAGAACCACTGGGCTGTAAAAGTTGAAACTTATGTGAGACCTTCATTACATAGTGTAGATTCAAGTTTGTTCAAATCATGACCCCCTGGGGTAGGGTGGGGCCACAATGGGGGATCAAAGTTTTACATAGGAATATATAGAAAAAAATATTTAAAAATCTTCTTCTCTAGAACAACAAAGCCACAATTAGTCATATTGATATGGAATCATCCTCAGGTAGTGCAGATTAAAGTTTGTACAAATCATGACCCCCAGGGGTAGGGTGGGGACACAATGGGGGATCAAAGTTTTAAATAGAAATATATAGAAAAAAATCTTTAAAAATCTTCTTATCAAGAACAACGAAGTCACAATTAGTCATATTGATGTGGATTCATCCTCAGGTAGTGCAGATTCAAGTTTGTATCAAGTCATGACCCCTGGGGGGTAGGGTGGGGCCACAATGGGCAATCGAAGTTTTACATATGTAAATATGTATATTCCTATAGGAATATACAGAAAAAAAACTTGAAAAATCTTCCTCTCAAGAACAGCAAAGCCTTGTTAAGTCATATTGATATGGAAGCATTCTCAGATAGTGTAGATTTAACTTTGTTCGAATCATGACCCCCAGGGTTAGGGTGGGACCACAATGGGGGATAAAAGTTTTACATAGGAATATATAGGGAAAAAACTTTAAAAATCTTCTTCTCAAGAACAGCAAAGTCATGTTTTGTCATATTGATATGGAAGCATCCTCAGATAGTGTAGATTCAAGTTTGTTCAAATCATGACCTCTGGAGGTAGGGTGGGGCCACAATGGGTGATCATAGTTTTACATAGGAATATATGGGGAAAAAACTTGAAAAATCTTCTTCTCAGGAACAGCAAAGCCATGTTTTGTCATATCGATATGGAAGCATCCTCAGGTAGTGTAGATTCAAGTTTGTTCAAATCATGACCCCTGGGGGTAGGGTGGGGCCACAATGAGGGATCATAGTTTTACATAGGAATATATAGGGGAAAAAAATTTGAAAAATCTTCTCAAGAACAGCAAAGCCATGTTTTGTCATATTGATATGGAAGTATCTTCAGCTAGTGTAGATTCAAGCTTGTTCAAATCATAACCCCCAGGGGTAGGGTGGGGCCACAATATGGGATCAAATTTTTACATAGGAATATATAGGAAAAAATCTTTTCGACAACAGAAAAGCCATGTTTAGTCATATTGGTATGGAAGCATCCTCAGGTAGTGTAGATTCAAGTTTTTTCAAATTTGGGGGGGGGGGGGGGTAGGGAGGGAGGGTCCACAATGGGGGATCAAATTTTTAACAAGGGAATATATAGGAAAAAAATCTTTAAAAATCTTCTGCTCAAGAACAGCAAAGCCATTTGTTATATTGATATGGAAGCATCCTCAGGTAGTTCAAAATCCAAGCCCCCCCCCCTTTTTTTTAAACTTTTCAATACTGAAGTGATTTGTGCTTTTTCCTAGCCAATGTGCTCAGGTGAGCAATGTGGCCCATGGGCCTCTTGTTTTTGAGTTTCAGTCAGTAGAACTTTAAGTTTTTTTTAGGGGGGGGGGGGGGGGGGGGGTGATAATACTGTGGTATTTACATTTGAAATTTATTACAAGAAATCTACAAAGTTATCCTGTTTTAGGATTTCTGTTACAATTGATAAAAAAAAATACTGCTGAAGTATCAAATTTTTTAGATATATTTATCTAAAAACATTGCTGTTCTATATTCCATTATGTAATTGCCCAGTTATTGCATTGACTGCCAGTGTTACAAGACTTGTGTGACCTTAATATCCTCCTTTTCCCCATGCCAATATGATATGCATTTCTAGGTCTTCTTGTTGTATACCAAAGATCATACTGAATGGTGGTGTCCAACTGATGTTGTGTAACTGTCTGTTTGTCTCTCTGTAAACAATACATTTGTATTTCAAAATGCTACTACTCCTTCAATTTTGGTATGATTTAATTCAACTCATTATACACTTAGATTCCTACAGTTTCAATAAATAATTCTGTCCAGCAGTGTTGCTATGGTTTCTCCAAATAGAAAATTTCTGTGAAATCCTTTGAAAAAGCTTCATCTGTGTCTGTATGGGTACTAAGATATATATTATTAATGAAAATAAAGCATTTTGTTTAAGTTTTACGTAAATTAAAAAAGTGTTTTCAAGTCCATGCAGGCACAACTTTACTCTTCCACTATTGCAAGTACAAACCAGTAGAGCTACAGTCTCTCCAGAGACTTCTAGTTATCCATTGTAGTTATTTTTTTTCTTGTGCATTTATGATTTTACTACACTTCAGTTATAATTGGATTGTTCTAATATAAATTTCTTTAAAAAAAAATAATAAGCAAACATGAAATACATATCCTTCACAAATACCATACTAGAAATAATGTTTGTGCAAGTTATTAATAAGTTTCTCGCTCAAATAACTGAATTAATATGCTGATCCATTTTTCTATTGCTACAATACCATAAATAGTAATTTTGTAACAGAAATAATATACATGCATACTATTCACTTATGCATCTTTCTAGGTCTTGTTTTAAGTCACAACCCTTGTTGTAAGTAAGGTGGTTTAAAAAATGGTTCAGTATGTTGTCTACTTAAATAACAGTGGTGCCATTGTTTGTCGATGAACACTCAAATTTGAGATTCAGAAGTTTATATTTCATTTGAAGTACTTTTTACGTATGACACAATATTTTATGTAATGATCATTCTAAAGAAGTTCAAGCACCTTTTCTAGTTCTTGAAAGGTAAATGTGTATCTCTAGTACAAACGCTTAGACATAATTGTATTCAGTTCATTTTGCCTTTGTTAGAAGAAAAGGTGGTGTTTAATTATTTACTTATTACAAGTACAAATTTACAGTATATATATTATTATGTGACAAAAGTACACACTTCATATAATCCTTGAAACAGTTGACAACAGAATAACTGTGAGTTGTCCGCCCATAAAAGAGCTCTTTTACAGAATCTTGCAGATCAGCACTTGGTAATTGAGTCGAGAATTTACACTTGAATTTACTTCTTTGTTCCAAAAGTATACAAAGGGTGTCAAAAAAGAAAGTACTCCAGGAATAAAAAAAAACAAAATGCAGAGCTGACTTAAATGTTCCTCTTCATCAGCGCATTGGTAGAATTCTTTTGAAATCCCCCTGAACATGTCTTTGGTTTTGTGTTTTTCTGTTGTTCCCACTTGTGAATGTTTGTTTTGTCTGTTGTTAAATTACCTGACAGCGATCAGCTCATCCAAATGTTTCAGCAATACTCTGATTGACAATCTTTGATGTTTATATGATCTTGAAGAAAAAAGAAAAAAAAATCTTTGTTTCAAAAAAGCAAAAAAAAAAAAAAAAAATTCTTACAGGAATGCAGAAAAAAAAAATCTTTTTTAAGTTTGTGATTTCTAAATAGTAGGGGTCTCGAAATTGCGTGGATCGAGTCTTGTATGTAGTATATTTGAGTGATTTATTTTTCTGTTTTTATGACACTGTTGGAAATGATTTGAAAAGGGTTTTTTTTTCTGTTCCGTTAATTAAATACATGAACAAAAACCCAAATAGCACAACATAAAACAAAATGTATTATGCCAAGTATTCTGGGCTTTTAAGAAAATTGCTTCTTATAACCTATTCACCCCTGACTGATTCCATGTCAAAAAGGAAGAACCCAAAGGCCAATAAAAAAGAACTTGCTAATTAAAACATTTGTATCAGTAGAAGACTGTCCATTGTCAACAATGCCCAATATCATTTAGGTAATTGATTTTTAAAAAATGTCATATATGAAGAAAAATAACATCACCAGCCCAAAATAAAATCGTAATTTTACACTTCAAATAAAAAAAATTGCCATATGG